TAAGAAGGAGTTTGTCATTAGTTAAAGTGTGGAACCCCTTTATTCTCTATTTGTTGTGTTGCCCCATAAATTTTTGCACTAAAATTTTGACTTTTCAAAGATAAGATGGTTTAAATAAGCTTCTTACTGTGTTTGATAAGATATGGATGGCATGATTTGATTCTTCAGATTAAAAGTGCTATAATTCAGTAGATTATTGTGCTAATAAATTGCAAAAATAATAAACACAAAAATATTTAGATTTTGCGTGATAAGAACTACTAAATCCACATCATTGAGTCAATATTTCATTAAGAAATTTGTTTTATGGAATTTGCGTGTTTTTGGTGTTAACTGAGGTTGCAAAACAAACACTGTGAGAAAAACCAGCTGACGATTCAAATTAAATGGCTTATTATATGCGGTTTTATTAAATGGAATATTGTATGAGTGGATTTATATTAAAAGTAAACATTGCCAAAGCTATTAATAAAACAATATTAATAAAATGTTTATCACGTGTTGTTTTTATTTAATAAGACTTTTTGCAATCACTTAAAAACTGAACTGAGATAAATTTCACATTTAATTAAAAAGTTATAATAAGATCTTTATAAAATAAGTATATAAGTATGAATGTAGGTAAATGTTAAGTTCGCGAAGTAGTAAATATGTATATTATTTTTAAATAATATCATCCACTTTCATATATAATTAGAATGTGTTTTTTATAACGTAGTTGCAACTTTCGTGAACTTGACGCTAAATGTTCCAATGTTTTTAATAAAACAATGTTTTTAATGTTAATCCAAAATTGTTTTTCCCTAAATATACGGTAACACAATGGACCAATAGGCCTAAGTGGAACCACTGGGGATCGCCGGTATAAGCTAACCTAACCTAATCCAACCTTTTTCCGATTATAAGTTCTATTATTGGTTTCAGTATACTCGCTTAACAGTTACTTTCTTTAAGAATCAATGGGACTTTGTTTTTATTATAATTATAGCATAATTATTATTATTATAATTTATTAAGTAATGTATAAAGAGGTTTTTCGAACAGTAGTGAACTACAACAACAAAAATACATTTTATATTATTTTAAATAATTGAATTTTTGGCTGATCATACAGCTGTTTCGAGTATTGTCATATACCCATCATCAGTGGTCTTGGAAAACAATTTTTTTTTAAATAAAGGTGCCTCTTTTTCTTTAGATCCCTATGTCCTAGTACATACTTATGCAGTTTTTGATTGATAAATCTCGCGTAACTTTTTCAATCGAGATTCACTTTTAGTGCAATTTTCATCTTTTATTGGTAAATCTAGAGCGAAATGTATAACACTCGAGATTAATTTATAACACTCTAGATATTTTTTTGGAGTAGCAAAATTTGAACAGCTGTTTTATATGACGTGAAATAAAGTATGATTTGATTTGATATACATATGTATTTAATAAAAATATAAACATTTACTAAGACTGTGTTCGGATGGGCAAAAAAATTTCACAGAGCAAGGATATTGAATTGGTAAAAGAAAAAAAAATTATTATAAAACGCATGTACGGTATCGAAGTTAGATGGGTATTTCATGTAACATAGGAATTTAAGACTAGGAAAGATAGGCCCGTATTGTCATTCATTAAAGAAATCGGACTTGGAGAAACACTCTAATCCAACTAAGGGGCACAAAAGATCTTTTAGGTCGCAGTGTACTACTCTTTTTTCATTATAATATTAATAATCGAATTTAGAAACATATTCAAAAACACTGCTGAATATATTTTAAATAATAATAATATATATGATGTTAACAAAGCAAAATAAATTTTATTTTAATAATTAAAAAATTTATTTTTTTATAAAATAATTCTCTCAAGCTCATGCTATAGATATCACTGATTATAAAACAAAAACTATTAAAATATTGAATGTATATAAATGTGAATATATTTTCCATGAAATGTAAATTAATATAAACAAATTATTTGATTAAATAATTTAAGAATTTTATAGATAGAAAAATTGATAAGCAAAATTTAGATTAAAAGATCAAGTGCAGATCAATATGAAACATTTTCCATTTCTTATTGGATGGACTTTGTTATTTATTAATTTTTTATTTCATTTTGACACTGAAAATTAATTTAATTTAATTAATGAACTTTGATACATTGATATAGAATTTAATTTTTGGTCAGTTTCTGATGAACTTCAGACATATTAACTTCATTTCTATCCGTTCAAATATCATAAAATTTGAGTACATTCGTAAGGAATCCACTTATCAATTCACTAAATCATTTACCTATAAATATTTATTTTTGAAAAGCCATGCTTACTTTCAAACTTTCCAGATACATTATTATTATTCAAGAAATATTGGTATTAAATAATCTATGAAATGTATGCCCCATGCAATACACATTTTTGCATTTATATAAATGTAAGGGGTTCTCTTCTTGGCAATAGTAGTCAAATATCACCCATTTAACTTAATTCATGCCCTTACTTTCTGGATTAAATGAACCTAGATCACTAGGTATTAAGTCTATCTACTCTCATCTCTCTCCCCTGATTACTGGAATGAAGTTTTCACATTGTTTTGGAAATCTTCTCCATTCTTTCCTAAAAGGTGGTTTTAGTGGGTTCAAGTCTCATACTGTGGCTATCGATGCTTTCCACCTTTTGATTTTATAAAACCCAGATGAAGATAATAGTTTCAACTATATCAGTTACAGTATGAACTGTTTCAATATGAACTAGATGTAGATAAGGTTTCATGAAGATGAAGTTTCCAAGAACAGCCTAGTCTACGTCCTGTAGCTTGTATGATCCATTATTCCTATTCTATTACTAATATGTGCCCAAACTGCAGCTCTACCCTTCATGACGTCGCCCAGCTGTTCACTTGTCATTCTACGCACGCAAACCTTGGTCCAAGTGATATTTGGACTCACCCTCTTAAAGTGGCTAGGTTTTTTTCTTTGGACCTGGTTTAATTGCAGTCCCACACATCCTTTATCGTCCCATTCTCCTATTATCCCCCGCTTACTCTTACCTCAAAAAATACCCATCCACATCCCAACCCATGTATTCGCCTTGTAATCTTTACATGTTATCCGCTTTCAGATACCATTGGGTTACAACAACAACGTCCCGGAGGTAGCCGTCGCTTTCGACGACCGAGTGAACTTTCTCTTAAAGGGATTACACAAGTAGACACTTTCTGGTTACAACAACAGGAAAGAGTAGTTTATTTTCACATGTCACCAATACTATATATGGATCTGTAAAAATATTTCGGTGTGTTCTTTGAATTTTATTTAATAATTGAAATTTTTTTATTTAATAAAGAACTGGAAAACTTAGTGTAAATTTATAGTTTTATATAAACAGATTTTTTAAACAAATTTAGTAAAAATGTTCAAATTAAAGTATGTAAGGATCCAGTTAATTTTCTAATTAGAATATTTCTTTATTCCTACATATAAAAAGCTTCAGGGTGTTTGTAGAGTTACCAACTCTTTATTAAGTATGAAATTTAAATTTTGAGATGATATGTTAAAATGAAGGGATTTGGAGAAATCTGGATGTGCATGGTAAATATTAAGACAAAAAGTATAAATGTTTGAAAAAGCAACAATAAATTAATTAAACATTTAGACAACAAAGACATATTTAAGATAGCAAAAAAGTTACGGCAACTTATCTCTTCTAAACAAAATTAATTAAGACAATATTTTAATTGAAATTCACACAGCCACAGATATGAACTCACATATCTTCACTTGCCGCGCCCTGTCTGTAGATATGTAAACAATAACGTAAATTGGAATTTACAACTTTTGCTAATAATAATCAAGCACGCAATTTCACTGTCAACACTGAATGTCTATAAGAACTCTGAATGAGTTCTCATACTCAATAGAACGAAATTATGTGCATTTCAAGTGTGAGGCCATCAAAACCAATTTCATTGAGTGCTACCAAGCAAAATGGATGGATTAGCAAATATTGTTGTTATATGGCATGCAACAACCACTACGCCGAGTGCCTCATTAACGTAAATTTTCTTTTCTTATGAATTTCAGACTGATAATCGGAAATGGCCTCATTCAAGACATTTTGCAGCGAACACAAGTTCAAGTGTTCAGTGACAAACAACCACCGATAAATTTAGCAAATGAGTTGGCTGAAGGGAACGCCGAAAACCCGTACGCGGAGGTCAGCAAACAGTTTAGCAAAATCGATTTTTTT